ATTATTACTAAGCAGGGCCGACCCTGCTTAGCTTCCATGTTCTGACATGACTGGGCTAGTCAGGGCTGGTGTTCCCTCTAAGCTGCGTTAGTGTGGGCTAGCTCACAGTTACACATTTTTGTCTTAGCTCAGGAAGGATGGCTCCAGAGCAGACTAATCTATGCAGTAGACAAATCGCTTGCTCACAACTTTAATGCCAGGAGCTCACAAAGTGGAATTTTTGCTCACAAGACTCCATAGCTTAAGAGGGAGCCTTGGGCTCTTCTGGCTCCTGGACGCCTCTTGTGAAGGCAAAATGACTCTGCTTTTCCGCAGCTGAATTGTGTTAAAGGTGGTGGGTGGGAGAAATAACCACCCGCTCTTGAAGAGAAGCAAATATCCGGATGGAAAAGTCCCCACTGAAGGGGCTTGGAGGTTTCCATCTAAAGGACCAGGGCTATGTAAAAGCTTGGAATAATGGGTTTTCCAACCACAAAAAAAGTGGCCTCTTGAATTAATCAGAAATGAGAATTTTTGGCAGATACGTCCCAGGTTTCTGACAGCTAAACTTATTGCAAAGGATGGAATAAGTAGTTTGATAACACCCAATTCACAATAGTCCAGGCCTCTCGAGAAAGTTTTATTAGAAGTGACATACATGGAAGGTTATAAACGGTGAAGAGGAGGAGGAAACCAGACTCAAATTTCCGTCGACTGCCACGCTCTTGTACGAGGCCACAGTTTGGTCTGACCCTTTGCTGCCTAACCCCCGCTTGTTTCGTGGCATTTAGTCCAGCCGAAGAGGAAAGGAAATTAAAAAATTTGTCCATCATTACGTAACATCGCTCCACGCTGGTATGAATAAATAACCTCTCGTCCTCATCATTAGAGCATTCACACTCAACTCTGCAGTTAATCCCAGGGGTTTGCTACAATTCTACATTCAATGTTCCTTACACCGAGGGCCAGAAAACTGAATTACGAACGCAAGCGGCCAAGTCCGAAGTATGCTTAAGAGAACAACCGTCAGAAGCGACTCGGACTCTCCCTAAAAATATATCACCTCAGCATAAACAGTGGCTAGAGGAACCTATCTCAACACAAGAAATCCAAGCAGTAATCAAATCACTCATATATAATAAATCCCCTGATAGGGACGGATTTACTGTGGAATTCTATAAAAAATTCAGTCTCTTACTAGCAGGCCCTCTAGCGCGGACTTGCAATCGAGTGTTGGAAGAAGGAATTGTGCCCCCATCCTGGAATCAAGCGAAAATAGGGCTCATACCTAAACCAGATAGAGATTTGACGATGACTAAATCCTGCAGACCTCTTTCCTTATTGAACCAGGACTATAAGATTTGCACGGCAACAATGGCATCCCGACTCAATCATATAATTGAATTTTACATCAACATAGACCAAACTGGGCTCATCCCTCACAGGGAAATCACCGACAATACACGAAGAAGCGACTCGGACTGATGCAATCACAGAGGTGTACGTCACTCAACACCGACAGCACTCGGGGCCACGCCCTGCCAGCGTAGATTAAAAATATTCCTCCAGACAAAGCGTAAAGGAGCAGATGAGTGACCTGGTATGCGGGCAAAGAAGTGTCTGAAATGGACTGAATTGAAATGCCACGGGAAGTCAATTGGGCACAACCTACGTCTGGGCACTTCCAAGGGCCGAACTAATTCCGCAGGGCCCGCAGAATGGAGATGTTCCGCCAGGCCTATGGTTTATTTATTTATTTATCTATCGAATTTATACCCCGCCCTCCCAGCCAAGGGCGGCTCAGAACAAAACGTATAATTACAATTAAAACAGTTTAAAAACCGACGAAAACCACCTGACATGATAAAGCGCTAGTAATCATTATGTTCTTCGACGGCGGCGGCCGTTGTTCAGTGGTCCCTTCTTGCAGTCGGCTTGCAGGTCTTTCCTTTGGGCGGCTGGCGCAGGCTGCTGTCGTTGGCGACGCCAGGGGGACAGGGCTCCCTAGCTCCAGCTGTTCAAGGCAGCTCCTTAGCTGAAGGCCTGGCGGAAGAGCTCTGTTTTACAAGCCCTGCGGAACTGTATAAGGTCCCACAGGGCCCCATGATCTCTTCCGGGAGCTCGTTCCACCAGAACGGAGCCACCACTGAGAAAGCCCTGGCCCTGGCCAGCCTGGCTTCCTTGAGACCCGGCTTCCCACACTAGGCCGGCGCACTCTATGCCCGTGATCCTCGGCGGCAGGAGCACCCTGAAGGAGTTTATTACTACGAGGGACTCCACTCGTGCACAAATTGCAAACGGAGATGGAATCGTACTTTGAGAAGTGCCTCCACATAACTTTCTGTTACTTCTGCACCCGCCCCCCACCCGCCCCGTGCTTTGTTTCACTTTGCTCGGCCCTGCTCCACTTGCTCCCTCGTCCATCCTCTTGTTCCAGTACTTAATTAGCATCTGCCAGCACACCTACGCAGAGCTTTTTATCGGGAGCGGCTGTGTTAATTGTTAACTTGCGCCACCGACCGCCCTCTGTCAGTACTGTTTGATGTCACTTAAAAGGTTTTAATGATTTCATAGTCATGCTTCACTGCTATTATTTATTGTTTTCTCTGTACTGTTGTAGCCCGCCCTGAGCCTTGCTGTGCAGGGGAGGGTGGGCTAGAAATCAAATAAATAAAATAAATAATTGTGACAGCGTCCTCACGGCCACCATGGGAACACAGTCGCCGTTTTAAAAAACACCACCCCGACTCAATCATATAATTGAATTTTACATCAACATAGACCAAACTGGGTTCATCCCTCACAGGGAAATCACCGACAGCCCTGCAGTGTGGCACTCTTGTCTCCCCCCCCATACCTTCTGAAGTGCTGAAACAGCCATGGTTGGGCCCCCCCTCCCCCGCAATTGGGTCCTTGTGACATTTTAAAACGTCTTTAAAATGGTGGAGGCATCCTCCTAGCAACCACGGGGATGCTGTCATGTTTAGTTTGGCCCTAGAGTCGGATTCGACTGGCTTTCGAGCAAGGGAACCTTTAAAGGTAAAGGTTCCCTTGCTCGAAAGGTTCCCTTGCTCGAAAGCCAGTCGAATCCGACTCTAGGGTTGCAGTGCTCATCTCCGTTTCAAAGCCGAAGAGCCAGCGCTGTCCGAAGAATTTAAGAATGCAGGCAAGCCCGGTCTCGTCAGATCCTGGAAGTTAACCAGAGTCGACTCTGGCAAGTACTTGAATGGGAGACCTCTGAGGAATACCAGCATTCGGGAGGTGGAGGCAGGCTTTATTCAGTCACCTCTCTGAATATCCTCCAGGCCCCCTTAGGGGTCAGTCACCATCACCAGAGGTCGTCATGACTTCCAGGTGCACACACCATCAGTCACCAGAGGTCGCCATGACTTCCACGTGAAATGCACACTCACACACATGCACATATGAAAAAATGCAAAAATAAATTAAGAATGGTAAAGCAACTCCAGAGCCCCATTCTCCGTATGTAGGATGATTATGCCTTCGTGGGGGACCCGGTGTGGTGGAGTGGTTAGATGGCTGCAACAGGATCTGGGAGGCCCAGTTTCAAATCCCCACTCTGCTGTACAGCTCACTGGGCCACCTTAGGCTAGTCGCAAACTCAGCCTAACCTACCTCACAGGGATGTTGTGAGGGTAAAACGAGGACAACGATAAACAAAGAGACAGGATGCAAGGTAACAACAGTGCAATGCAGCTGGTCTACTCAGACTCCTACTCAGTGGGGCTTACTCCTAGGAAAGTGTTCTCAGGGTTGCACTAAGATCTATTTATTTAAAACATTTCTATACTGCTTTTCCATCTAAATAGGGGCCCCCAGGTGGCATACATCAAACATTTCAACAGTAAAAACATCTAAAAGACAACAGATATACAATAACTCAATAAAACAACATTACAATTCAATACATAAAAACATAAGAGACGCCAATGTTGGATCAGGCCAAAGACCCATCCAGTCCAACACTCTGTGTCACACAGTGGCCAGAAATACCAGTGCCATCAGGAGGTCCACCAGTGGGGCCAGGACATTAGAAGCCCTCCCACTGTTGACCCCCACCCCCAAGCACCAAGATGACAGAGCATCCCTTGCCCCAGAGCCCCTATCTATACCTTGTGGCTAATAGCCACTGATGGACCTCTGCTCCATATGCTTATCTAATTCCCTTTTGAAGCCGTCCATGCTTGTAGCCGCCACCACTTCCTGTGGCAGTGAGTTCCAAGTGTTAATCACTCTTTGGGTGAAAAACATATGGAGGCCAATAACAGTTATCGGGGGTAGATCAAGATGGGGAGCCGTGTTAGTCTGTCTGTAGCAGTAGAAAAGAGCAAGAGTCCAGCAGCACCTGAAAGACTAACAAAATATGTGGCAGGGCAGGAGTTTTCGTGAGTCACGGCTCTCAGCTTTTGACCTGAAGAAGTGAGCTGTGACTCATGAAAGCTCCTACCCTGCCACAAATTTTGTTAGTCTTTTAAGGTGCTACTGGACTCTTGCTCTTTTCTACGGTTATTGGGGGGGTATGCCAAACAGAACAAAAAGAGACTTCCCCCACGGGCGGAAGACAACAACAGAGGGACACAAACTGAAGCATAAAAGACTATCAGTTTTAAAGTTACTGCTGCTTCTCCCTCTTTTTTCCGCTCTCTTCCCACATGCACAAAACCCTATACCAGGGGTCCCCAACAGGGCATCCGTGGGCACCATGATGCCTGCCAACAACTTTCTTGGCTCCTACCGAATTCCCAACAAGGCTTCTGATTGGCTGTGTGGGTTTTTAAAAACGCTGCTTTGGCAGCCACTGTGGCCACTGCACAAGAGCCTTCGCTCTGTGACTGAAAGCAAGCTGTGGCAGCCATTTTGTGACTGGCCCCACCTCCTGCGGCAGCCATTTTGTGGCGGCACCCACCACACTGTGTCAGAATTCCAAAGGTGCTCGCAGGCTCAAAAAGGTTGGCATTCTAAAGGAGCCTCAACACTTCCCAAAGTCTGAAATCTCTTACCTCCGATATTCTGAATGATGATTGTGCAGGCCACGAGGATCTATCAAAAAAGCAAACTGTGTTAGGAGCGGCAGTCTCAGCTAGGGTTGCTAATCTTCAGGTGGGGCCTGGAGACCTCCCGGAATTACGGCTTATCTCCAGACTACAGAAATCAGTTCCCCTGGGGGAAATGTCTGCTTCGGAGGTTGGACTCTATGACATTATGCCCAGCTGAGGTGCCTCCCCTCCTCAAACCCCACCCTCTCAGGCTCCACCCCCGTATTGCCGGGAGTTCCCCAACCTGGACCTGACACAACTCTACAGTCCCAACAAACCCTAATTTGCAATTTTAAAATCAAGCTGCAGAACTGATCAAACGAACTCTTAAAGGGAAGCGGCTGAGCGCTCCGAGTGCCCGACAGAAAAGAACCATAAAACGTCACACGGCAAGCTGAGGTGAGGCAGTGAAGGGTCAGAACCATAAAGGCAAACTATTCCTATTACTGTCATTTCCTTCTTGTAAGAAGAAGAAGAAGAGATTGGATTTAGACCCCGCCCATCACTACCCAAAGGAGTCTCAGAGCGGCTTACAATCTCCTTTTCCTTTCCACAACAGACACCCTGTGAGAGCTCTCTCGAGGACTGCTCACAAGAGAACAGCTCTGAAAGAACTTGTGACTGACCCAAAGTCATGCCAGCAGCTGCATGTGGAGGAGTGGGGAACCAAACCCAGTTCTCCCAAATTAAGAGTCCGCGCTCCTAACCATTACACTAAACTGGCTCTCACATAGCATTCCAAATCACAGGTGAAATCTGCTACGACATGGCTTCACTTTTACTAGGGGATTTTTTGCCAACTGCAGGAGGACAATCCCAGGTAATTGGCAAAAGAACACATGACCAGGGGTCATTTCGTAGAAAAAGAGGTGCATGAGCTCATTAGCATAACTTATTTGCATATGCCACACACCCTGACATCACCCACCGCTCAGGCTCCACTGGACTCTTTTGGATTGCTAACTATTGGGGGGGGGGGAACATGCAGATCTGCCCTCACAGAGGAGGGAGAGCTTGTACCTGAATAAAACTTGGTCTTTAAAGGTGGCACTGGACTGTTTTGGGCCGGGGGGGGGGGCTCTGCAACTTACCTGGCTGCTTCTTGCTCTGACTGAGGGCTGCTGGGAGCAGGGGGTGGGGCTTGTTGCATGTGACCGCCCCCTGGGCTCTTTACTGCCAGAGCCCCCCTCCTGTGCGCTCCTGCAGGAAATGACCCCTGCACACGACCACCACCCTCTGAGCGACAGGGGTGGATGGACAGCCCTCAGACTCATTATAACAATACACAGATTACTTGCATGCAGCCGAAGCGTGCAAATTAGCTATAGCCCTCCATATTTTGCGAGATTTCTAATTTGGCCCTTCGTATGAGGATGGAGAAGCTGCTCCTTTGTGAGCTGAAGCAGCATGAGTGTGCCTGAAATTAGGCAGGGCATTCCCTCCACATACTGAGATCCATGTGCACGAGGGCTGCCATCCCCCTGAGGGGGCGGGGGTTTCCCCGCTTTCGGGGGGCCCAATCTGCCACCACCCAGCTGGCCGGCGGGGGAGCCTCACCCCCAAGCAGCCCCGTCCATGACCGACGTGATGACGTCACCCGGAGACGTCACTCATCATGTACGGCATGTCACGTGGGGGATGCGCTAATGGCAGAAGACTCCAGGAAGAAGACTGGAGCCCCCTCCCCCCGGAACACGGTAAGGACCTGGCAACCCTAATGTGCACACTGGAGCCCCTGCAGAGATTTAGAGCGTGGCTTCAGAAATTCAGAAATGCATCTTTCCTTCCACTACTGGAGTGTTTATAGAACATATAAGACCAAGAGACCAACAGAGGTGGTTCGCCATAGCCTGCCTCCACGCAGCAACCCTGGACTCCCTTGCTGGTCTCCCATCCAAGCAGGGGTCATTTCCTGTGGGAGTGCACAAGAGCGGAGCTCCGGCAGTAAGGAGCCCAGGGGGCAGGTACATGCAACAAGCCCCACCCCCTGCTCCCAGCAGCCTTCAGTCAGAGCAAGAAGCAGCCAGGTAAGTTGCAGAGCCCCCCCCCCCCGGCTAGCAATCCAAAACAGTCCAGTGGCACCTTTAAGACCAAGTTTTATTCAGGTACAAGCTTTCCCTCCTCTGCGAGGACAGATCTGCATGTCCCCCCCCCCCCAATAGCTAGCAATCCCAAACAGTCCAGTGGAGCCAGAGCGGTGGGTGTTGCCTTCTGACACACTTCCGGTGATGTCAGGGGGTGTGGCATATGCAAACGAGTTATGCTAATGAGTTATGCGAATGAGCTCCCGCACCAAGTACTAATCAAGGCCAACCCTGCTCAGCTCCCAAGATCTGATGGGATTGGTCTCGCCTGGCCCGTCCAGGTCAGGGCACTGGAACTATAATAATAAGAATTGTGTGCCATTAAGTCACGACCCACTTATGGCAACCCTCCAAGGTCCGTGAGGCTTTTGAGGTAAGAGATAAGCTGGAAGTGATCTGCCCTTGCTTTCCTCTACATAGCAACCCAGGTCTCCCTTGGGGGACTCCCATCCAGGTATGAACTGTGGCCGGCACTGCTTCGCTTCCAAGCTCTGACCAGGCTAGGCTGGGCAATCTTAAACAATCAAAACAAAGGATTACGTAAGAAAAACAGGGAGAGCGGGTTGGGTGATTACCTTTCCGGGTGAGCCAAACGCAAAGAGGCCAAGATCTTCGTACGAAGTGACAGCTATTTAGGAGGAAGAAAGTAATTCTGAGTTGTGGCATAGATTCGAAACATACATATACGGGACAATCTTATGCTTACAGGTCTGACCCCCATTTAACCTTTGTTTCCCCCTCCCTTCCCCAACAACAATATAAGGACCTTAAATACATGTTGGGAAATGACATTACCTCGACATTCTGGTTTCATACTTAAATCGTGTCCCTTGTCCCTGCCCCCTCAGAACAGGATTTTGGAGGAGGAGGAGGAGGAGGAGAGGAGGAGAAGAGGAGGAGGAGGAGAGGACAATATAAGGACCTTAAATACATGTTGGGAAATGACATTACCTCGACATTCTGGTTTCATACTTAAATCGTGTCCCTTGTCCCTGCCCCCTCAGAACAGGATTTTGGAGGAGGAGGAGGAGGAGGAGAGGAGGAGAAGAGGAGGAGGAGGAGAAGAAGAAGAGGAGGAGCAGGAGGATTTCGGAGGAGGAGGAGGAGGAGAAGAGAAGGAGGAGGAGGAAAAGAGGAAGAGAAGAGGAGGAGGAGGAGGAGGAGAAGAGGAGGAGGAGGAGGAGGAGGAGATTGGATTTATACCCCACCCTTTACTACCCAAAGGTGTCTCAGAGCGGCTTACTAACTCCTTTCCCTTCCCTTCCCCACAAGAGGCACCCCGTGAGGTAGGTGGGGCCGAGAGAGCTCTGATAGAAACTGCTCTTTTTCAAGAAGAAGAGGAGATTGGATTTATACCCCACCCTTCACTACCCAAAGTTGTCTCAGAGCAGCTTACAAACTCCTTTCCCTTCCCCTCCTCACAACAGACACCCTGTGAGGTGGGTGGGGCTGAGAGCGCTCTGAAAGAAACTGCTCTTTTCCAAGAACAGCTCTCATCAAAGCTACGGCTTGCCCAAGGTCATCCAGCCAGGTGCAAGTGGAGGAGTGGGGAATCAAACCCAGTCCTCCCAGGTTACAGTGCGCGCACTTAAACATTACACCAAACTGGCTTTGAAGCGGCTGTGAGAGGAGGGAGCCAAAGAAATTACATCTGTTATGATGGCCTGCGTCTTTATGCAGGGGTGGGGTTTTAAAGCTGGATCTTAATGAACACTTTTTAATGTTTCAGGGGAGGTTTGGTTAATTTCTATTTTGTAAGCTTGTTGTTGTTCAGTCGCACAGTCGAGTCCGACTCTTCTTGACCCCATGGACCAGATCACGCCAGGCCTTCCTGTCTTCCGCCGTCCTCTGAAGTTGGCTCAATTTCATGTTCGTTGCATCTATGACACTGTAAGATGCCTGCTTGTAAACAGGGTCGGCCCTGGTCAGCATTTGAATGGGAGACCACCAAGGAAGTCCAGGTTAGTGATGCAGAGGCAGGCGGTGGCAAACCACCATAAGTTGGCTGGAACTTGATGGGGGGGGGGTCGCCCCAGGTAGGTTCCTAGAGAGCCACAAACAGAAGTCCTTGCACACATGGAAATATTGGATCCCATCCTTTATTATTCAGAGATATACAATCTGGTACAGTGATCCCCAATGCGGTGCCTGTGAGCACAGTGCCGCCTTCCAGTGTGTTTCCTGGTTCCTATATCCTCCCCCCCCCCAAAGTATCACTTCCTGAAAGCAAACAGGCAACCTTGGCTTCCTTCCACCTCAATGGAACAGGAAGTACTTCCAAAGAGTCCAGGAAGCTTTGCCTTTGGGTATACAGGGTATACAGGAAGCATTCATTTGAAATCAACTACCTCCACTGTCTCCTGCCAACCTAGCAGTTCGAAAGCAAGAAATTGCAAGTAGATAAATAGGTACCACTTCGGTGGGAAGGTAACAGCGTTCCGTGTGCCTTGGTGTTTAGTCGTGCCGGCCACATGACCACGGAAACGTCTTCGGACAGCGCTGGCTCTTCGGCTTTGAAACAGAGATGAGCACCGCAACCCTAGAGTCGGATTCGACTGGCTTTCGAGCAAGGGAACCTTTACCTTTACCTTTACCTTACCTCCACTGTACGAGGTTGCTGGGCTTGGCGCTCCATAGCATTTTGTGACTGGGCACTGCCTCCCTGAAGCAGGAATTCTACGCCAGCTCCTATTATGTATTCTCAACATTCCAATACTGCCCACAGGTTTAATAAGGTTGGGGACACCAATATGGCAGGTCATGGAACATTATATTCTTGGGGAGAGCTCCATCACCAAATAATGAAGCAGCTTCCCTCAGGTGGCTACCTTTCCCAGTTTTATATAGTGGTTAAGAGTGTCGGACTAGTATCTGGAAGACCCGAGTTCAAATCTCCATTCATGCCATCATGGAAGGTCACTGACCTTGGGCCAGTCACACTCTCTCAGCCTAACTCATCTCACAGGATGTTGTGAGGATAAAATGGAGGAGAGGAGAATGGCATGAGCCACCCTGGGTCCCCACTGGGGAGAAATGCGAGGTACAAACAAAAAAATAAAAAATAGAAGTACATGCTGAGTGTAGCCACAGTCTCAAAGCCTCTTTTCTTTCTGCTCTGACTTAAGATAGTTCAGGCCAGCCCGATCTCGTCAGATCTCGGAAGCTAAGCAGGGCCGACCCTGGCTGGTACTTGGAAGAAGAAGAGAAGGAGGAGGAGGAGGAGATTTATACCCCGCCCTTCACTACCCAAAGGCGTCTCAGAGCGGCTGATAAACTCCTCTCCCTTCCCCTCCCCATAAGGTCATCCAGCAGGTGCAGGTGGAGGAGTGGGGAATCAAACCCGGTTCTCCCAGATTAGAGTCCGTGCACTTTAGGGTTGCCAAGTCCCCCTGGGGGGCGGGGAAACCCTCACCCAAGAGGCCCGTTCCCCACTGGCAGGGATTGGCCTGCCGAGGGGGACCCCACCCCCAAAACGCGTGATGTGCTGGCGTGAACACATTACCCGGAGGTGACGTAATCGCGTCAGGCACGTTGTGGGGGGGAAGCTCTATCATCCGAGGGAAAACTCTATGGTTTCCCCTCGGATGATTGTGGCCCCGCCCCCAACGTGCCCGACGTGAACACATCACCCCAACCCCCAAAACGCGCAACGTGCCCAGCGCGAACACATTACCCGGAGGTGACGTAATCGCGTTGGGCATGTTGCAGGGGGATGCTCTATCATCCAAGGGAAAACTCTATGGTTTTCCCTTGGATGATTGTGGCCCCGCCCCCAACGTGCCCGACGCGATTACGTCCCTTCCGGGTCGCGGCGTCGCGGCGCTAAACTGTAAGTGGCACTTGGGAACCCTAGCGCACTTAACCACTATACCAAACTGGCAAGGAAGGGAGACCTCCAAGGAATACCAGGGCTCGGGACGCGGAGGCAGGCGATACAAGCCACATCTCTGAAACGTCCAAACCCCACTAAGGGTCGCCAGAAGTCGCCATGATTTCCAGGCATGCAAGCACCCCCCCACACACAAAAAAGGCCTCCATAAGTATTTCCAGTCTGGTAACAACAGGGGATCCTGTAACTTGTGGCTTCAAATAGGATTGTTTTAATGCTGTCTTTACCAATTTACTTTTTTGGGCGGTGACCTTAAAATCGGTGTAACCTATTTTTAACAGCTGGATTTATCACAGGTTTAAAGGATCACCTTTGGACCCTTTACAGACAGGCGGTCAGTGTCAATAATTAATAAAGAACTTTGGAATTTTAAAAAAGTGACTCAATCAAGCTCCACCTCTGTGGAATGATTAGGCTGTAACGCACCGGGTGTAAGGGGCTGAGGCTTTTGAGCAGAATCAGGGGAGAGTCAACTGAAGGGCTACAGAATGCGGCAGATACCGTAAGCAGGGAAGGAAAAGAGAAGAAACGTGTTCACACAACACGAGAAACCTCCGCCTTAGAAAAGGGAAGAAAGGGGAGGGCAGAAACCGAAAGGAGAGCCACATTAGAAGCAGAGTCTTATCCCGCACTCTTCTGTGGCGCCACTCTCAACGACAAAACAGGCCTTGAACCGGTTCCTGTGGCTCCAGAAGCCAGCCGTGGTTTTGACAAGCCGGACTCATATTTCAGCCTTCAGGGTCGTGTATGACCGTATTTTCGAACTATTGGTAGCACAGAAAGTGCTAGACTTTGCAATGACGTTTTCTAGGCACCATGGCAACCCAGTGCCTGGGATTTGTCAAGCCCTGTAATTAAGTGGCGAAGGTAATGGTGACTCAGTCTCTTTCTGCGGACGCTTCCACTCGGGTTATCTGTCCCAGATTCGATGCTGTTGGGAAGTGGGGGGTGGGTTCCTGCTTCCCCAAAGAATCGTGGTGCATTTATGTACCTCTTGGGTGTTTCTTCCAGTTTTTTTTTCCCTTTGATCCTTCCCAAAGCTGCTTTGCTGAAAGGTTCTGGGAAAGAGCACAGTAAAGCCTGAACGGCTACCATATGGATAAGGTCCTAAGAGAAGCCATGCTGGCTCAGACCAGTGACCCATCCAGTCCCGACACTCTGTGTGTCACACAGTCATCTCCGTAGCTAACAACCTTTTGCTCAGGGAGGCAGTGTTTTGCTTGTGGGGCCGGCCATTATATGTGTGTGGAGCTGCTACACCATGCTTATACGTCTAAGTAATAACTAATAAATGAATAATACAAGTGCCTTAAAAATGGACAGAGTGATACAATGGAAACAGACACCCCCCCATTCTTACAGAAACCAAAGTGCTTAGTATCATATTAGCATTCCAGCGAAGGCGCATCCGCCACCTCCCAAGGCAGAGTTGGGTATGTTTCGCCTGGGAAAGAGAAGGCTTAGAGGGGACATGATTGCAGTCTTCAAGTATTTGAAGGGCTGTCATGTAGAAGATGGAGCAGATCTATTCTCTCTTGCTCCGGATTGCAAGACTAGATCTAATGGGTGGAGATTACAAGGGAGTCGTTACCGGCTAAGTATCAGGAAAAACTTCCTAACTGTAAGAGTGGTTGAGCAGTGGAACAGTCTGCCTCGGGCAGTGGTGGATGCTCCTTCGATGGACGTTTTCAAGCGGAGGTTGGACGGCCATCTTTCGGGTATGTTGTAGGGCTATCTTTCGGCTATGCTCCTGCAGAGTCCAGGGGGTTGGACTAGATGACCTGCAAGGTCCCTTCCATCTCTAACATTCTATGATGGTGATAGGCAAACTGTGGCTCTAGAGCCACATGCGGCTCTTTGGCCCCTTGAGTGTGGCTCTTCCACCGTAGGCGCTGACGGCCTATTCCCTCCATTGTTTTCTATGGTGGGGAAAAAGTAACTTTTTTCCCACCATAGAGAACAATGGAGGGGATGGGGCAACCTGTTTGGGGGCCCGTAGAATTGGACCCCCTGGTTCAATGTTTCTGAAACATGGTGGGTATCTCAGGGAGAGGCTCCAGCAGCTACCCTGCGAATCTGGAGCCTCTCCCTCAAACCCCCTCCTCTCCAGCCCCCAGAATATACCCTATGTTTTCGCCATTGACTTCAATGGCCCATAGGATATAATGAAGCAGAACTGCGGGAAGCCCCAGCAGCCCTCAGGCCGGAGCACCTGGAGCAGTCTAGGGAGGCGGATTGGCAAAAAGCAAAACCAAAAGCGCAGGAACTCGAGAGAACTCCAGGAATGGAGCCGGTTCCTCTTCCACAGCCCAAAATGCGACCCACGAACCCTGAGCTTGCTTTTTCTCATTTGCGAGTCTGGCCTCCGCACTCCTTTAATGAGGCAGCCCTAAAGCTTGAGGCGCTGGGAGTTTCTTTGCACGCAGCTTGTGCGGCTGGCTGAGTGCCTCTTCTACTTGCCCACCTCTCGCCTCTGCACCTCATCTTCTGCCAGGCATGGAGGAGCCCAGCTCGCCCAGGCTTCTTGCCTCCTGCTGCCTTGGCCCTCTGGTGCACGGGTGAGTCCCCAAAGTTTGACTCTTCCTCTACAAGTCTCTGGTGCTGGAGGTATTCGCCTCCTTCCCTCCTGCCTGCTATGGCTGCATAATTGTGAGAGATTTCTTAACATAGTGTTCCTGCCAGGGAAGCTGGGGACCCTGCCCATGAGTCTCCATTTCATCCTCACAACAACCCTGTGGGGTAGGTTAGGTAGGGAAGGGGAGATTTGGCCCGGAGTCACTCAGCCAGCTGAGTGAGAATACAAACCTGGGTCTCCCCACATCAATCTGCAACTCTGATCACTATGCAGTGCTGCCTCTACTGACCTGTAATGTTCCAGAGGTGTTGTAATGTAATACTCAGTTTTTCAAACAAGTGTATGCCTGTCTGTTGGTCCACTTAGGAGTCTTGATCCCGGTTGTGTGGTGGGCTAGTTGTGGCAAATGGTAGGGAAGCTCAGTATTTCTGTATACAGTTGTAGG